GATATAATGGTATCTGATATGATTACTAAGTTAGGTATAATGGTATCTGATATGATTACTAGATAAGATATAATGGTATCTGATATGATTACTAGATTAGATATAATGGTATCTGATATGATTACTAAATTAGATATAATGGTATCTGATATGATTACTAGATTAGATATAATGTTATCTCATATGATTACTAGATAAGATATAATAATATCTGATATGATTCCTAGATAAGATATAATGGTATCTGATATGATTACTATGTTAGATATAATGGTATCTGATATTAATAATAGATAAGATATAATGGTATCTGATATGGTTACTAAATTAGATAAAATGGTGTCTGATATGATCACTAGATTAGATATAATGAAATCACTAACCTGGACTAGGTGGACGGAAGTAATAACTTTTTCTCTCTGAAATAAAATATAAATTCAAGTCATTACATAATGTGTCTATTCGCCTTGAAGAATGGTGCACTGTGTATACTGAACGTCAACTATTTTTTTTGGTATTTGTACTTGAGCTAATTAACTGTATTGTTTTAACGAGCGCATGAAGTGCGACAATGAGTGACGGTGAGTCAAGTGTTAGTTCGGTGTGCTTGCCATAAACTGATGCCATACAAATGACTAACATCCTTATTTCAGATATTGAAAGAGGTGGATTGAATATGATTGAGGTGGACTCCTTTTTTAAAGCACAACAGATTATGTGGGTGAAACGGTTTGTTTCTGATAGCCAAGCCGGATATATTGAAGGGACTATTGAAAAAGTTTGGGGACCATGTGTTTTTTTGCAACTATGATGAATCAGAATTTGAAAATCAAATCCCACACTTTTATTATGATATCATCCGGGAATGGTCATCTCTGACATCATACACTCCAAAAACAACATCTGAAATTGATAAACAAATATTATGGAACAATAGATTTTTAAAAATTGGCTTTCGTACAGTCTATCTGAAAAGTTTGGCAAGGAAAAAAGTATTAAGAATAATAGACCTAATCGATTTCTATGGAAACTTTCATGACTGGCAATATT